AGATTTTTGTATATATATATATTGTGTTGTTGTTGTTGTTAAGTGCCGTCGAGTCGGTTCTGACCCATAGCGACCCTGTACAGGGGTTTCTGAGGGTGTAAATCTTTATGGGAGTAGAAAGCCTTATATTTCTCCCACGGAGCAGCTGGTAGTTTCGAACTGATGACCTTAAGGTTCACAGCCTGATTCGTAACCACTACGCTACCAGAGCTCCATATATATATGTGTGTGTGTGAATTATACAGACAAAAATTATTTTTAAAAATTCACTGACTTTAACAGTGCATCTGAAATACAGAGTAATCGCAGGACTGACAAGGAGCTGAAGGAAAGGGGAACTCAGAACTCCTCAGACTTCTCAAGCTCACAGATGTTCTCTGATTTTTGTTCCACAGTATCTTTCTACTACTCTTGGAGTAATCTCGTTTACTTCTATATTTTCAGTGCCTATCCTAGAGCCCTATCATTAACTTTAGAATCATGCTTTTATCTGCCTTTTGGACATCACTACTTGGTTAGTCCACCGACTCTTCAAAGCCAACAGGTACAAAAGCAATCCTATTACTTACCTTGAAAAAGAGCCTAAATGTAATTTAAAAAATTAATTCACTGAATTACATTTGTATCCAATATAATAGCACTTCCATGGGAGAAAGGTGAGACATTCTGCTCCCATAAAGATTTACAACCTCGGAAACCCTGTACAGGGTCACTATGAGTCCGAACCGACTCCACGACACATAACCACTACCAACCACCATTGCTCATCAGGAGTCCTGGTATGGTGCTGGAGTACTGGACTCATGTCAGATGGAACCACAATGTTAGTGGTTCAAATTCACCAGCAACTCCTTGGAAACCGTATCCATGAGTTCTGTGAGTCTGAACTGACTTGGCAGCATAAAACAACAACAACAACAACAACAACAACAACAACTGTCCATCTAGTTTTTAAAGTTAGATTACATCATCTCTTCTCTTTGTCTTCCTAGCCTCACATCCTTATCTACTTGTTTCTTTTCCACTTGCCACTGAGTCTATTCCAATTCATGGAGACCCTATGTGTGTCAGAATTGAACTGTGCTCCACAGAATTTTAATGGATGATTTTTCTAGAAGTAGATTGTCAAGACTTCTGTCACATCTCTGGGAAGACTTAAACATTTAATT